TTTTTGCAAATTCTGAGCTCCTTGAGAAAGACGGGCTCCTTCACTTGAAAGTGTCGGCTAACAGATTTCCACAGGACGTACTGATATGTTCATCAATGACAAAACCTCTACGATGGGAAAGAAATGATTTGAGTCGGAGATTTGTTGCCCCAACTAAGTTTTCAGTTTCAGTTTTTTAGCTGCAGCTCTGTGAAGTTTTGTTTGACAGGTTTTAACAGGACAAGTTGCATGAAAATAAATGAAAAGCTACTCACTTTTTGAGCAAAAAAAAATTTTGTATTTGTATTTGCTTTTGTTGATTTTTTTTTTGGGCTAAAATCACTTTTGCATTTCTTTATCAGGACAAATCAGGATCTTAGAGTAACAGCTTCTTCATGCTTTATCTTAAAGAAAAAATGATGGTGTATGATGCGAATAGGTCGATGGAGCCTGACGAGATGATGCTTCATTTTCAGGTGAACTGTAGTGAACTTTGCTGAGTTTCAGTTTGAATAGAGAACAGCGTTTGGTTCTGAAGTGCTGGTCAAATCTTTAATCTTATTTTAATCTTTTCTTTGTGTTCCTGATTAAAATCAAAATTTCAGTCAGTTTTATAGTTTTTTGGGGGCAAAGCACAGATTGTACAGATGCTAATGTTTGTATCATTTGAGAAGTTTAGTGTTGAAAAATATGTTTGTTGTATTTCATTGTCACTAGAATTGAAACATGTCAAATGATCTTGAATTCTGATGAGTAACAAACAAATCCTGACGTGTCTCAGAGGTTTAATGAACCCCTGCAGCAGTGTGTCTGGTTTGTGGTTGTTAACCACTGAGCAGCAGAGGTGCATGATGGGTAAACACAGGCTAGTGGTCGAGCAAAGTGCCGAGTGTAACTGCTGAGCCGACCGGGACAGGACAGAGGAGGCTGAGGGATGCTGGGTAGTGTTGTTGTTGACCCTGTGTGCGTGCGTGTGCGTGTGTGTGTATATGTGTGTGTGTGGTCAACAGACTCGGGGCTTGAGATTAACGACTCCACCAGGGAAAATGACACTTGCTTCACTCTCGAGCAGATGGCTGGACCATCATCTTTACACACAGGAGAGAAAGAGTGAGTGAGTGATTGAGTGAGAGAGTGTTTGTGTGTGTGTGTTTATACGATCACTGGAGACGGTAAAACTGGCACCATGAGATAAGATGGCATACATTTTCATCTGTGTGTGTGTGTGTGTGTATTCGGCAGCTGTCCATGTAGCATTAATAGGAGAACCAGCTGAGAGCAGATGGTCTGGATGGTGTGTGTGATTACACACAAACACACTCAGGTTTTTACATTTCCAAAATCACAACTGCAGCTGAGGTGGATTGCGGCTCTCGACAAGAACGAACAAGAACCTGAAGAGACTGAAGCTCAGATCACAGCTCGGACTGATACGGAAGATTTTTAGTGACAAAACTACTGAACAAGAATTTAATGAACCTGTCTGTAATTAATCTTTAATCAGTCACACAGAGACAAACGATTCAGCAAAAAATGAGTTTCAAGTAGAGTTTTTGTGGATTTTTGAGGCACTGATATTTGATTGATTTATATCAGCAAATATTTTTGTTTCTTAACATAAATCTGCGTTTTTGATACAGATGTGTTAATGAAGACAGTTTCTAATTTACCTCAAACTGACATTTGGCATTTCTGCTCTGACATTTCTTGCAATTTATGGGCCAACATATACTGATGTAAATGTGAAGCTAAAATTCAGCTGATATTATTGGTCCTTTTAGTTCTAGCTTAAAGCACAAAATCCTGATTTTAGGTGCCAGAAAGTATCATAACCTCTTTTCTACAGTTTAAGTCTTTTAAACCAAAGAAAAAGCCTATGAGGCTCCAGACTTCAGAGGGTAGACTCTAACAGGAAGTGGACACAAACTTCACTTGTGCATGACAAGAAAACAAACGGTCAAATCTGAAGCAGCGAACACAGGAAATCTGAATCTTCGTTAGCCTCAAATACAAGCTAATTTAAATGTCAGATCCTGGAACTTGATCTGAACCAAAAACTGGCGTCAAAGTCCGACTCTACTGGGGCTCAAAACTCACATTTCTGTCCTCATGTACAGTGAAAAAGAATCTGTCCATGTTCACACTCAGGTCTGAGCTGCAGACTCATCTCTTTGGTTTCTGAGCAGAGTCATAAAAGTGAGTGAGTCTCATTGTCCTGGTTTCATACCACAGTAAGAGGCGAGGCGTGTGAATGACATTAAAATGTAGTGGGTTAATTTGAAAAAAATGATTCTGTTCAAGTCTGACGCCACCGAAGAGAGAAATCAAGAGTCATCTTCCTGACTGTCTGATTGGCCGAAGCACTCTGCAGATAAATCTGCCCCCCCCCCCCGAGTCTGAGCGCCGCCGATCTATCCCACAGACACACACCTGTTAATACACTTCTGCACCCCCACGAGACGACGAGTGCTGCCGCCACGCACAACAGCGGAGATGAATTTGACATATGTGCACTGACTCTTCCTCCTCTTCATCCTCATTGCACAAAATATCAACACACCACATGATGATCAGGAGTCGTCTACAACACGTGGACAAATTTGTCTGCCAGAGGAGATTTGATTGCTACAGGCAACAAGTTCCATTGACAAAAAAAAAAAAAAAACACGAAAAGGAACATAAACAACATGTAAACATAACACAGAGTCAGTGCTGATGTCAGTTTAACAGCGTCCTTTAAACTGGAGTCTGTGTCGCTCCGACAGTGACACAAACTCAGTGAAGACTCAAACACTGAGGGAGGTTTAGTTCATCTTAAACTCACAACGAGAGCGTCGACCTGCTGTCTGGAAACACAGCAGTGGATGTTTCCATGTACAACACGAGTGGACTCACACCTGCATCAGGCTGGGTGTGTGAAGTCGACTTTCTTCAAAACATGACTCGAAACAAAGCAAAGAAAAAAACTAACTGCAAACGGTTTCTTGCTTTAAAAGGTACAGTCGGAATGAAGGAGGAAAATAAAGGTGGTGGATCTAAGAAACAAGAAACAAAAAACAGGAGGAATTGAAATCAACAGGTTCACTGCATTTTGTTTTTACCTACTGAAGCGAAAGTAGAACTGAGCTCCAACCCAACACACGACTGTCAGTGGTCAAACGTCTCCACTAGCTCATTTTTAAATCAGACTAATGATGTAAAAGTAATGTGCCCAACCCTAACGTGTGACACGGATACACACGAGAGCTCAACACACACACACACACACACACACACACACACACACACACACACACACACACACACACACACACGGTGTATAAAACACATGCACAACAAAACTTTAAATATTCTTATATATATACATAACCATGCACAAATTAACAATCGCTCTCTCTCTCTCTCTCCCTCACACACACACACACACACAAAACAAGTTACACACACACACACACACACACACACACACACACATATACAAAGTAAAGTCTGATAACTTTACAGGATTAGAGGCAAAAAAAACAAAAAAACACAGCAAGTTGGTCCAGATACCAAATAAAACGTCTGCAGCCTTCAGAGGCCGATGGGGCCAGAAATAAACAGCTGGTGGTGACAGGTCAGCTGATCAGTGTTTCAGCTGAGTGTCAGTGTGGAGAAGCTGCGTCTGCGTCTAGAGGCCACTCACCCAATACAATTATTTTAATCCTTGGCTTCATCTCTGTTTGGAACTAAAACACTGGCAAAGGTCAGAGTTAAAACAGCCGTGCTAACTCTGCTAACAGAGATGTGTCATCGTGCTCATGTTAATATGCTGGGTTGGGGCTTGACTTGGGGCTTGAATCTGAGTCCAGTACTGAATCAGCTTGAGATGTTTAGGTTTGGCTCCAGCATTAGGAGGAAACTAAATATCTATGGCGGTCATCGACGCTCTTCACTAATCAAAATGGCCAAAGTAAATTAAAACATTTGATAAGAGATTTGTTTGTGTCAGAGCTGAAAACTCCTTAAACCCAACCCTGTAGCATCTTAGCTCATGATCAACGTTGAGCAAGAGATCATTTTTCCAGGTTCCCCGGCTGTCAGTGCTTTCCAAACATTTGAGAATTAACTTGGAGAGAACTGAAGCTGCCTCCGAGTCAGTGCTAAGCTACATTTTGAGTTCAGACTGATTTGGGAAAATCTGAATCTCACATTTACACATCTTCAGAGTCAAGGTGTTTGGAGTTTGGAGTGCACCTTCATTTAATAAATGCATGCAAACCCCAAACTAATCCATCAAGGGCATTCAGAGGAATCTCTTCAAAAGGCTGAACTGCACCTGCAGCCTGCGCTCAGGGAAAACATCCCCCCTTCACAGGACCTGCAGAGTCGGATCATTGGGGACGACGGCGAGAGGAAGAATTGAATTTGGCCCAGTTAGCTGGGTGCTGAGTGTACGTTGACGGTGCAGATTTACTCTTATTAAACACACTGTAATGCGTTTACACAGATTGGACGCTGTATTGCTGAGATATAATCTTCTTCCAGTCATGGCTGAGGAGATGTCGGGCGAGGAGGGACGGGGAGGAATAGGCTCTACTGAACATCAAGGAGAAAATTAATGAGGCAGAAGAAGACCATGGGTGAGAGAGAGAAAGCTGAGTGTGATGTGTCTACATTTTAAAACCACTGAGCTCTTTACTTCTGGCCCCTTACAGAAAGAGAGAGAACGCCGACTCCTCATGGCGTTTAGCAGGAACCAAAGCGTCAGGACACCAGTAACCACAAGTAACTCACACAAACATAAAGAGCACAGAACAGCTGGAATGGAACTAGGACTACCACATCTGTCTCTGCCTCTGATAGCTCTCCATCTCTCTCTACACCTTTCTCTCTGCTTCGAAAGTCAAACTCTCTGGTTAGTGCGAAGTTACTAATATGTAGTTTTCTTCCAAACATGCAGTTTGTGTGAGTTTTAAAACCTCCAGTCAGCACGGAGTGCTGTGATCTGTACATTTGTTCTGGTTCTTTGCGTTTTGCTGCTACGTCTTCTTGCTGGTTGCTTTGTCTTGTTGCGAGGAGGTGGACGTGGCGCTGGCTGCGGCGGCGGCGGCAGTTGTCGTCTGGGGTTCGGACCTCTTGCGCTGTGGCTCAGATGCTGCAGAGATGGGGAGGCTCGTGTAGAGGGCGGTCTGACCTGCTGCCGCTGCTGCTGCAACCGGTCGCTGTGCAGACACAGAGGGGTCAGCACCCTTCGTCCCTGCAGACCCTGATGTGGGTCTTGGTGGTGGCGCCGGGGCTGGGTAGTCTTTTTGGGTAGAGGGCTTGGCCGAACTCTGCGAGGTGGTTTCATTTTTCTGTCTGGTGGGGGACTCTGACGGGTGAGGCATCTGAGGGGTTGGAAGCTGTTTGGGGGGGAGTGAGAGCAGGTCAGTTGGGGGGGCTTCTGGGATGACCCCTCTGGATGGTTTCTGGTCCTTCTGGCTCTTGTCTGCACCCGTGCTGAGTTTGACCGGACCAAGAACACTTTTGGCGACCATCGCCAACTGGGACACCACTTTGTCCACGCTGCTCTCAGTGAGCGGGACTGGGGAGCTGGAGCTGGAGTTGGAGCTGGAGGTGGATGATGACGATGCGCTCAGACTTGCGGCGGCGGCTGCACACAGTCTCCGGTTGTCGGCCTCTTTCTTCTCCTTGGGGATGCCTGGGGAGGAGCAGGAGGTGCGGGCGGTCTCTCGGGTGTCAGTGGTTTGGCAGTCTGTGGTACTTGTAGTTCTGGACTCAGGGGAGCTTGTAGTAATTGTGGTGGATGGGACTGTGGTTTTAGGGCTGTCCAGGGTTTGGTCTTCAGCCCTGGACTCTGACGGGCCAGTTTTCCCCTTGAGACTCTTCGAGTCTTGTGGGGGACTCGGCTTGAGGAAAGTGTCCTTGCTGACTGAGATGAATGCACTGCCTGGAGTGGAGAAGGGAAGGGGGCCCTGAGGGGGTTTTGTGGTCCCGCTCTGCTCCAGAACTTTCCTCTCTTGTCTCACACCATCTGTGGATGGGGCAGAGCATCCATCTTTGAGCCCAGAGGAGGAGGAGGAGCTCTGACCGGGCTTCATCTCTGTCACGGAGGGGAGGGTGTGTGAGGGCGTGGGCCTGCCTACCTGTGAGGGCCCTGTGTGGGTGAATGTGGCGTGAGGGGTGCAGGGGGAGAGGCAGAGGGACGGCAGGGTACCTCCAGGGCCTGTTCTCACAGTGGTGGGCCTTAGCAGGGGAGGAGGGGTGAAGGTGGTCCCCCTGCGTCCGTCCTGGCTGTCCTCTGAGCCCTCGTCTGTCTCGTCCTCAGATGAATCCACCTCGTGGATGGCGTCTTGCTTCTGCAGCGATTCCCGCCGCTCGGCTCTGTCTTGCCGGATGGCTGAGAGCTTGTCCTTCAGTTTGCTCTTCCCTGGGGCCAGGCCCAGCGAGCCGGACACCGTGATGAGGGCGCTGTCCCCCTCCTGACGTCCCAACTTCCTCGATGAGGAGGAGTGTTTCTGCAGGCTGCCCTTCTCCACACCGCGTCCCGCTGAGGACAGCAGACCCTCGCTGGCTGACTCCTGAAGGTCAGACAGGAAGAAGACACAGAGTCAGAACGTGCACAGTGAAAGTAAAACAGCTTGAAGCTCTTCTCCGACATGGAATATGTAGCACTGCAATCTTCATGAAGCTGTTTAGATTATTGTGTTGTCATTCAGACAAACGGGTCTATTCTGGCATTTAGTTAGTACGTTTACATTTGTGTTTATTTCACTGGATACTTTATTTCTACTGTATCCCCTGTGGTTTGTCTTTAATTTGAATGGTTTATGGCTCTGTAAAGCACTTTAATGACCTTTCTTATGTGTTTTATTGTTTCTCTGTGTTGTGTGTTTTCTGTGTTTTTGCAGAGATCTCAATTGTTTTGTTTTTTGTATCTGTAGAGCACTTTGTGACTATTGTCTGCAAAAAGTGCTATATGAATAAATTTAGGCTGCACGGTGGTACATTGGTTAGCGCTGTCGCCTCACAGCAAGAAGGTTCCGCGTTCGAGTCCCGGCTCGGTCGCGGGATCTTTCTGTGAGGAGTTTGCATGTTCTCCCCGTGCTTGTGTGGGTTCTCTCCGGGTACTCCGGCTTCCTCCAACAGTCCAAAGACATGCAAATGGAGACTAGGCTAAGTGGATACTCTAAATTGACCATAGGTGTGGCTGTGAGTGTCAATGGTTGTCTGTCTATATGTGTTTGCCCTGAGATGGACTGGCGACCTGTCCAGGGTGTACCCCGCCTCTCGCCCGAAAAGATGCTGGGATAGGCTCCAGCCCCCCCGCGACCCTACTAGAGGATAAGCGGAAGAAAATGGATGGAAATGGATAAATAAATTTAACTTTACGTACTTTATATTTACTATGCTTTCCTTGTGTTATACTCATTTTATACACTTATTTTAATTACTTTTATTTGTTGTGCAGCACTTCAGCTCAAACTGTGTTTAAATGGGCTCTAGAAATAAAGTTGACTGTTTAGATGTGAGACGATGAGATGTGAGATGTTCTGCCAGTACATTCAGGATCTGGAATGAGGCTCATGTCTGAAAGAGGCCTGACATCTGATATGTGCCAAAAAAAAAAAAAAAAAGAAAGGAGCTTGAGAAGTTAGTTAGGTTTTTGGTTTTTCCACCAAAGGTTGTTCAGTTTGATCAGAATTTATTTGGTTGTTATTATCATTATTATTTTTAAAGCTCCACATTCTCCTTCCCATCTGTATCTGAACAGCCCTGTCCTCACCCTAAAAACACATGTCAGATTAAGGTGCTGAAGTCTGTGTGAGTGTGATGAACTCATACCTGGAGGCTCTGCAGACTCGGCTCCCGCTGCAGAATCTCCTTTTTAAACTCTGAGTGTGAGATGTCCAGACTGTGTTTACGGCTCCCTACAGCTGCTCCCACCGCCAGCTTCTTCTCCCCCGCCGCCGCCACCCCGGAGGGAGACGAGGGCGAGTTAGAGAGGGAGGCGGCCAGCTTCTCAGCCGACTGCACCCTCTTGAGGAGCGGAGAGCGTGGGGGCTCGGCGCTCTTGGGTCTGGATATTTGCCTCACTAGGGGAGGGGAGGAGTGGAGCTTCACGGGGAACGACTGGCCCACGGCGGACTGCCCCAGGGCGTGGCTGGGCAGAGGGGAGGGAGAACGCTGCGGGGAGCTGCTCTGAGGGGTGGGGGAAGGCGTGCGTGCCAGAGGGGAGAGGGGGATGTTGCCGGCAGACTTGCGCCGGGGGGAGCGGTACTGTCGCTGCAGCTTCGGGGCGAGGCCGTGCAGAGAGCTGGGCCGGATGTGGCCAGAGCTCGCTGGGGAGTTTGGGACGCTGGAGCTGGGGGAGCTGCTCTGGGATGAGTTTCCACCAACTGAGGGGCAGAGAGAGAGTGAAGTGATGCAGCAGAGTTGAACTGAGAGGTTACATTAAACACAACCATATTACATTCATATAAATGAACATAAGGATGACATTTAGGGATTGAGTGTCTGCCTGTGTCCCTCACCTGAGTGGGCGGAGTCTGGTGTGGACCTGTAGCCCTGTGTCGGGCTCCGTGGTGACAGGTTGTGTGTTGGTGAGCCGGGGCCACTCTCCCCGGAGGACAGGGAGCGGTTCAGAGAAGACAGACTGCGGCTGGTGTGGAGTAGAGACGCCTGCTTGGTGATCTTCCTGAACAGAGACGTCCTCTTCTTACTGCGAGACAGAGTGCACAGAGAGGGGTCGATTACCAAATCGTGTGTGTGTGTGTGTGTGTGTGTGTGTGTGTGAGTGTGTGTGCGCGCGCGCTTCCATTAAACACACACACAGTGATGTCTGACATCTCACCTCTCCTGCCCCTCCTTGTTCTTGGTCTTCTTGTTGCGTCTCGCCATCTTGGATTTGTGGCCCGTCTTTCGGGCGGGGCCGACTTTGATGGACGTGTTCTCAAACGGGGTGGCAGAGATGGACACTTTAGCGCCGCTCTGAGGGACAGACACAGGATTAGTGACTAGTGAAAACCACCTACATTTTATCTCATAAATATTTATAGTTTGATTTTAAATCTTTTAAATCAGTGGGAGAAGAAGAGAAAACTAAAAACAGATAACCTCTGTGCGCTCTATGACTTTAAATTACTAAAGTAGCGAGTGTGTGTGTACCTTCAGTATGAGCTCCACCACCTCTGTGTGAACCAGACCGTGGACCGGCTCTCCGTTGACGTGGGTGATGAGGTCTCCCTCCCTCAGCCCTGCCTCGTGGGCCGGACCCCCTTCCTCCACATGCTGAGGGAGAGAGAAAGAGAGAGAGAGAGAGAGAGAGAGAGAGAGAGAGGGCGAGAAATGAGAAAGGGAGAGGAAGAAAGAGGGAGACAGAGGAGACAGAGTGAGACAGTGGAACCTCTGTGTTGAGGCTGTTGTATTGTTGTTTACTGCCATCTTCTGTCAACAACAAGAATCCCAGCTCGCTGCAGCCCCACTGTCACTATCTGATGTTCTTACCTGCTAAATTCTTCTTCTGCTCTTTTTATATTTACTTAGTTTCAGCTCAGATCTGAACTCCTGAGAATGTACTTCAAGAACAAATCAATAAATGATGTTTGTGAGCGTGACCCGTGGACTCACCCAGACCATGTGATGCACGGTGTAGATGTCAGAGTCTCCCATGTAGACTCTGATGGCTCTCAGGGTGAAGCCGTACTTCTTGCCCGCCCTGTGGATCACGATGGCTGGTTTGACGCTGCTCACCGCCGGGGACAGGTCCCGGCTTGGAGAGGAGTCTCGTGATGACGGGTTGGATGACAGTGAGTGGGGTGACATTGGGCTGGCCAATGGGGAGGCTCCGTGGTGGTCTAAGGACAGTGGATTTTTGCAGGAGAACTTGTTGTAGTTTCTGAAGTGCTACATAATCACCTTATCTTCATTTTCCCACCAAAGTTAAAGACACATGATTAAATGTCACTGACCTGCAGGGATCATCAGCGACAGTGTGGTGGCGGAGGCCGACTTGATGACCTTGTTGAGCGGCCTGGAGCTGGGAGTCGTCGTGTGTTTGTCTGTGTCTCCGGACAGCAGCCGGTGGCGAGCCCGGCGAGCTGCCAGGTCACTGATGGCTTTTGGAGTTGCTGGAGAGTCGCTGTCCGCTGCACCTTTAGCAGCTCCACCGGCACCGCCATTGTGGCCATTACCGCCATTACCACGTTCACACACATCGCCTGAGCTGCCCGCTGCAGAGAGACAGAGGAAGATGGAGGAATAAAGGTGAGGGAAAAGTTCAGGTGAAGCGTTCTTTCTTTCCCACTGTTTGTAATCTAAACAGTAACATGCATTTATATAGAACTCAGGGACAATCAAAGTTTTCTGTGATTATAAGAGGTAATACTTTTTCAAACCAGACACTTCATGCAGGAACCTTTAAAGTGTTTGACAGGAAGAGGGCTGGTTTATGTCAAATTGGTGTTTTCCCATCAAAAGTAAGAAGCGCACCAGAAACTTTTGCGTGCGAACAAGAAAGTTTTGCGTGTGCACGTTAAAGTAGGGTTATTTATGGGAGGCCGATTAGGGTGAAACACCATGAGAGTGTGCACATACACATCAAATTAACCACATACACGATGAAAACTTTACATACACACCAAAAACATGCATATACACACCGTGCATCTACACACCCCAGCATCTTAACACAGCGTGATGTAGGCTGCTTGTGCGCTCATTGTGTTGGCACTGAGCTTTCTTGTGTGCACGCGAAACGCAAAGACCCCCCCCCCCCAAGTTTTTTTTTCCCCCATGTCCCCTTAGGGACTCCGTAGTAAACATACCATTAAAAAAAAACAAAAAACCTAACATGATACTGCACTGTATTACTCTGTAAATCAGCAGTTTGAGTCAGACAGACCTAAGTGTAGGTGTGCTTTTGTGTAGTAATATGGTAGTTCAGCAATTAAAAAAATGTAGTTCCAAATTAAAAGTGCTGTTTGACGGCAGATAAAGAGGTGAAAATATTCAAAATAAAACGTACACTTAAACTGATAACAGCTAAAACCGCAGCACTTGACCCCACAGCAGCTCATCACTCAGCTTCTGTACCAGTGCTTCCTGCTGCTTCTCTAAACTGGGAGCTGATCTGAATCTACTGCAGTTAAATACAATGACTATTGATGAGTACCTCACACAACCCCACATCAAGTGACCTGAACTATCCCTTTAATATCAGACAAATGTTTCAGCTATTGAAATTCTAATAAATTCCAATTAAGTTGTGGTATTTGTAAAAAACTTTAAAGGACCTGCAACTTTTTACAAGAGTATTGAGGTTATGAGCAGTAAAATATTTATTATCACACCTAAAGAGATAATTAATAAGTCATTTTATCTCCCTCGACTGTCCAGACTGATTTCACTGAAGCACTAGTTGAGAAATTGAAGTTAAATCTGTGTCCTGTGACATTGGATCCTCGCCATGTCCCTGAAGTTTGTCTTTGTACTGACGTGTAAGCGTGGCCTTGCTCAGCTGACTGGAGGTGGAGCTCGGGGTGGTGGGAGACTCGTCCAGCTTCAGCTCTCTCTCCACCGGGAGCTCTGGGATGGCGAGGGGCAGCTCGTCGCCGCGTGGGCCCCTCACTGCACTCGGACCCAGCAGGCTGGGGCTCTTACGACTTCCACCTGAGAGACAGACAGAAAACATGGAGTTACAGCTCATTATATCCAGCTGCGATTCTTCAAAGAATGGATGAAGAACTTCCACAAACCAAACAGACGTGTTATTTGTCAGATTTTAGACACTTTAATTTCCTGCAGCAGCCTCAACAACTTCCTTTTATTTCTGGGCTGATCTGAAGAAGGTTTCTTCCACAGGCTGTCGGTGCGTCCCTCTTACCTTGCCCTTGGCCTCCTTCCTCCTCAGAGGAGATGGCGAATCGTGGCATCTCAATGATGGCGGAGCAGCAACGCCTCCGGACTGTCAGAGGCGGGCTGGAGTCGCTCTCTGTGTGGGAAGACTCCGACACAGACAGACGCTTCCGCAGGCTGCAGAGGTGAAGGTGAGGAAAGATCAGACACGTGTGCAGCTACAAAATTAAGCCGTCAACAACTCGAGACTCTCACATACCAGCTTTCTTCGTGTATGAATTAAAACATAAGTACAGAAAGATGAAGCTACGCGCTCAACAGTTGATACTACTTCTTGTTCTTGATTATTCTATGAATGTCTGAGTCTGTCTTGTTTTATGAAGCTGAAGCACTCACATCTCTGGAGATCCCACCAGCCAGGATCGATCTCTGGACTTGAGTCCGCTCAGGCTGTCGATACGATCTCCTCCCTCCTCACTGAGGCTGCGTTTGGTGGGAGGAGGAGTCCTCTTCTCCTCGTGCAGAGACAGACGCTCCATACTGCTGTACACCTACACAAAAGTCATGTGATGCTTTAGCCTTTGCAGCAGAGCCTCTTTACATGTTTAGGATGAATAAGTTGTTGTGTAGGTGATTGTTTTATATTTTCCCGTTCAAAGGAAAGTTGTAAAAAAAAAAAAAGATCAACAATGTCCGAAGTGAAGAAATATTTAAATTCATTGTTAGATCTACAGGAAAACTCCAAAAATGTTTAACTTCTTTGTTGACAGTCTACATTTTTTATATTTAGGTAGGACTTTTCTATCAATTGGCTGTGGTTTGTGGTTGATGTGTATTCAGATGTGCGGGTGTATGAGTGCGGACCTTGCTGAAACGCGGCGAGCAGGAGGAGAACTGTCGAATCTCCACGTGTTCGTCATCGTTGGTGTCGTCTTCCTCCTCTGAATCCACGTGGTGGTACCGATCGGATCGAGCTGACGGAGACACAGAGATTAGGTTGTTATGGTGACCTCAGAGTTTCAGACAGCTAACAAATGTCTGCGAGAGCCAGGCAGAGACGTACTGTCAAAGTAACTGGTGTCGTCCTCTGACTCCAGCTGGGGGATGAACTCTGCTTTCTGTCTCAGCAGGCTGTTCCAGTCCAGCTCTGTGAAGAACGGGTGCTGCTTCACCTCAAAGGCACTTCCTGTAGAGATGAAGGAAAGACGGAGAGGACGGAGCGGGTGGAGATGAAAAGGGAAGGAACAGAGGGAGAGGAAAAAGAGTGGGATACATGAGGAAAGACATCAGTAAGATCTGAACAGCTCCGGGCCAAACAACTAGTAACCTGTTCAATCTTTCATATGTTGTGCAAAAGATATTCCAGGAATTTAAAAGTAAAATTACAGACAGGCTCTGACAGTTAAATCCGAGATACAACATTAATGCTCAATGACGTATGCTGCGTTTATTTTAATGACACAGGAGCCCAGTGGGAATCAAACCCCCCGTCTGAGCACCTGTGGGTCTAAACATGTTACCTGTGCCCAGCCTCTCCAGTGGGTTTTGTCTCAGCAATTTGGAGATCAGGTCCTGAGCCTCCTGAGGCAGAGCTTCATCTTCCTCCGGCCAGATGATTTCATCTAACACAAACACAAACACAAACACATGCTTCTGTGGTCTTATGTGATACAAATATGGGGTTCTACACATATTAGGAATTGTCTAGTTAAGCATATTTCCTGTTATGTGCCATCATCCATACCTGTAATAATAACCCCCCTCCTCCCCACTAACAAATATCAGAAAGTCAGAGAAAAATACAGAATATAATGGAGGCACGAGGAGACTTCAGTTATTTATCACCACACTGCATCGATGTAGAGAGATGGACTCAGACAGTCATAAAAGAAACATAAAGGGATCAATACAGGTTTATGATCATTGATTTGCCCTTTCATCAAAGGGAATTCAAAGGAGAAAAGGAACGCAGAGGAGGAATCACTATTGATTTTATTCACTGTAAGTCAGGCCTGTGCTTCTGTGCTGTGGAGTAACATCTCTATCTGTCCAAGTCTGATGATTTTATCAAGTCTGCTGCTCTTTCTCCAGGAAGCTCTCAGTCTCAAACATTAAACATTCACAGTAAAATACAGACAGAACAACACCACCAGAACAAGATTCATTATTAAGTGTTTGATACATAATGTAAGAACACATTTTGCTGGTGTCCTAGCTGGTGTTTTAGCTGTACTTTAACTGTATAGATTCAGTAAATTCATAAACCTTTTCTTTTTGTGTGTCATTCGTGGCTGTTTACATTAATTTCTATCTATTGGATTTGTTGTAGAGACCCACTGGAATCAGCTTTGCAACTGAGAAAATTAAGGTAAACATCAAAAGTTTAAAGCTCCATATTGTATAAAGGTAGATGTCAATGTGTTGTTTGATTAGAAAGCAGGTCTAGGTTCTATATTGATGCTGTGAGAGTATCAAAGTGCTCAGTCCAATAGTTCTGTAACTTTGTGATGTCACAACAAAGCAGCGACAGCTCACAGCCATGCTCCAAGCCTCGCCCACCTGGGCCGACCATTTCTGAGTGTTTACCTGAAAGCTGCTATATTTTTTATTGAATCACTCAAAAATCCAGTGAGCCATTCAGAAGAGAGTGCTGAGCCTCCTCTCTTCTGATTGGCTCACCGCCCTGTTGTTGCTAGAGCTCCAGAGAGAAGCCTGAGAGAGGAGATGTAAAACTACACTGAGATGGTTTTTGGTTCTCAAAACTACAAATATATCTTCTTATGGATCAACACTTCAAATAAAACAAAGAAGAAGAGGAAAATATGGAGCTTCAAATTCAAAATGTTTTCTGTAAACAACAGACATCACTGGTAGATACAGTAACTGGGTTAACTTGGTTGTGTCATGGCCACTCTTGGGGCTAGCATGTGAGCTTCTCTGGTGGGGGAGCTAAATGCTAACACGCTAGCTAGCTGTTAACAATGATGTGCCAGCCACCCACAATACACAACAAACAGAGGCCTGTTACCCTACTGTTTTGTCATATTCGTATTGTCAACTCTTCCTTAACAACTCACTATAAAATTTCAGTTGAAAGTTGAACTTTATTTTTCCTTTGCAAAAATCTGTTGGTGTTATACAGTAACAGCTGGTGTGACTGGGCTCTGATGTGGAGGCTGTAAAATGTGTAACTGATGACCACAGTTACAAGAAGTGAGTGAGTGTTGCTGAGGAAAATACAGTGTGTCAGACGATCTACTCACCACTGATCACCTGACCAAACAGCTCCTCCGGTGTGTCTCCGAAGAAGGGAGCGCAGCCCACCAGGAACTCATACAGAATGACTCCCATTGCCCACCAGTCCACTGGCTTCCCGTAGCCCTGACGCAGAATGACCTCTGGGGCAATGTATTCTGGGGTACCACACACCTGGAGAGGCATCCATGCACAGAAAATCAGCTCAGGATGTGGAAAGAGTGGTCGAAGGAAAAAAAGCATATTCAGCCAAGCCCCATGATTTTTAAGAGATCCTGCAATTTGATCAAATCCCCATAATTTTTCTGCAAACAATCAAATGTGGAACTGGATGAATGCTTTCTGGCAAGCTAACTGCACAGGCTCCGGGCTAACAAAAACCCACCAATGGACATTTCATCAGCAGCTTTTTTAACAGATTTTTAAATATGATTTAAGTTTATGGCAAAAGAACAAAAAAAAAATTGCTCACAGTTTTTGGAAAAACTATGTTTCAGGCTAAAAAGAGAAGTGAGCTGGTACCTGTTTATCGAGGAACTCTCTGGTGTCTTTCTCAATGTGTCCTTCATACAGGTTCGTGGTCAAACTCATCAAACCAATCTTTGAGAGACCGAAGTCCGTCAGCTTGATGTGTCCCATGGACGTGATGAGAAGACTGGAGGAGAAAAAACGAAAGGTTGTAGATAAACATTCACAAAACGATGGTGTGAAGACAAATGTGTGCGCGTGTGTGTCTTACTTGTCAGGTTTGAGGTCTCTGTGTACGATGCCGTAGTTGTGGAGATACTCCAACGCGAGGACGGTCTCTGCGAAGTACATACGAGCCATATCCACCGGCAGAGCGCCGATGTTCTTCAGCAACGTGGCGCAGTCTCCACCTACAGACGAGAGCCCCAATGTCAGACAACACAACACCACCACCACCACTACTAATGATGACTGATAATAATAAATATCTTACCCTCCACGTACTCCATCACCATGCAGAGGTGCCTCCTGGTCTCAAAAGAACAGAACATGGAGACAACGAACGGGTTCTCGGCGAACGTCAGGATGTCTCTCTCCACAAAGGCCTGCTGGATCTGGTTCCTCAGCATCAGGTTCTGCTTGTTGATCTTCTTCATGGCGAAGCGCTGGCGGGTTTCCTTGTGTCGCACCAGAAACACGGCACTACATACAACACACAAGAAACCAAGGCGGGTTTATACATTGCAGTGTTAAGACGTTTTCCTTCACTTATGACATGTTTATTAAAATGTGTGTTTTCATTCACATCAAAACACAAAAACACGCTGTCAAGAAAAAGCCAAAGCCAACATGCGGCAATATAACCCTGACTGTAAAACCATATCGGCCAATCAAAAGCCTGAAAAAAACATCACCCTGGAAGATCTGTTTACAGTGACTTTAAACACAAAGGGGCAAAACACAGAAAAATCTGCATTTTAAAAAATACTCATGTATATAGAATATTTAAATCAATATTACTGTCCAGGTCTCCGTGCAGATGACGTGTTAAAATGAGAATAACAGGATAAATGACATGTTGCTGTACCCATAGGCTCCGTTACTGATGAGCTTGATGTTTTCAAAGTCCTCCTCCCGGGGGGTTTTGGTCTTAGTCTGCGGTGGAGCTGCTGGGACTGTGGTTCCTCGACTCTGAAACAAAAACAGAAAATACAGAAAACATAAAAGAAAAAATATATTAGCTCACGTTTTTTGGAACCATAATTGATAAGCTATTTCAAGTGAATCATTAGCCACCAGTTCTTTTAGCAGCCGGTGTTTTATATTGAACATTTTCTGTTCATGTACTCACATCCACTGAGTCGTCAGTCTCTGGGGTTTCTGGGTTCCCGCTGTCATAGCTGCTCAGCTGGGCCATTTCTACAGAGACACAGAGACCAGTCACCAAACTGAACCAGGACAGGAGATAGGTAAAGCTGACATGGTGAACCACAAACACGCACCACACCTACTCTCACAATATATCATTTCACAATTATAAAATAGTCAATTCTGGTGATGGTGTTACCCTCCAGGGGGTCCCTGGTGAGGCCCAGCTGGCTGATGATGTATCTAGGGATGTCCGACTTGATGCCCTGGCCCTCCTTGGCATGGCCCTCTGCTGCTTCCAACAAGTGGTAGAACTCCTCCGGATCAAACTCCTGCAGGGGGAGAGAGAGAGAGAGAGAGAGAGAGAGAGAGAGAGAGAGAGAGACAGGTAACGATTTAAGACATTAAAGAATATTCATGTCCAGAATATAATATATATATTTTTACATATTTCATTTCCTCTCTTCACCTTTTGTCAGATCCTTTTGCATAGTGTTTGATACATATGTTTTTTTATTTATGCTGTTCTACTGTTTTTACTCTGCTCAGGCTCTTTGTCTTTCTCTTTTATCTGGTTTTATTTTTCTGTGAAACACTTTGTAACTTTGTTAAGAAAAGTGCTATATAAGTAAAGTTATTAATAATATTATGCTGTGTAAATGACAGCTTGATTCAAGGCTCTTCATCTGAAAATAGTTCAGTAGCAGCAGCTGGCAGCCTGTAATAGTTTTAAATAGTTTAATCTTATCTCAGTTTTGTAGAATATTTTGAATTTGACTTATTTGGCACACAGGAAAGTCCTGTTTGAAGATGGTGCTGAGTCTTGTAATACTTGTTAATTTTGTTATGTTGAATTTTCGGTGGTGTAGTCAGCTGCAGGAGGTTTCCAGCATCAAGCAGGACACAATTTTACCAGGTTCCATCTCAAAAACAGTCCCCAAGAAAAGTCTGGTGTTGCAGTTTTTTGTCAGTTCTGGTCCTGTCTTTATCTCCAGCCCTGTTAGACTCAGTCTTGGATCTCAGCCCCCTTTGCCAACCTCCGAGACAAGCACCACCAACACCACCAACCACCAGTTTTTCGGATGTGATGCATTAAGACTCCGCGAAGATGACAAACGAAGTCATGGCTGAACGATGATATGTGGGGAGGTTGTCATGGAGTTTTTGTTCTCACACACCCCACAATTTAACTCCTGTGTCCCCTGACAAAGACACAGCAGAGGCTGCTACTGTTACACCCCCCCACCCCCACACACACTTCTGTAACTCACACATACAGTACAGTACACATGTAAACACACACTCCCTGCCCCCTCTTCTATCTGTGTGCTTCCAATTGTAAAAACCCATCCTGTACAGTGTCACAGCTTCAGCTGCATGTGATTAGTCAAAACTACCGATGGAAGCACGAGGGCAGCCTCCACTCCTGCCCTCCCCTCCTCCCCCCTCCCTCCTCCTCACCCTCCACTGCTCCTCCAATTATCCATCTGTCTTTTACACTCGTTTTTTTTTTCAGTCTGTCTTTATCTCTGCTCCCCTCTTCACTTTCTCCTTCCCATACCAGCTGAGAGGTCTTAATGTGTGTGTGTGTGTGTGTGTGTGTGTGTGTGTGTGTGTGATTGCGCGCGCATGTACATTAGGCTAATTTAAAATTCTCAGAGGAAGTCCATAAATGAATTGCTGCTGTGGTTAAATCATTTCACACCGAGGAGCAGGAAGCTCTAAATTGTTTATTAACCATGCGTGGAGTCAAGCTGCACAATATGAAAAAGCTATTCTAGTTAATCCTGCTCATATTTCTCATAGCAATCTTTCAAACACACTCTCATTTATACCAGTGTACAGCAGTGTGATTAAAATTCAACACTACTCTGTGTAACTGCTGAGGACGTCCAAGCTGGAAGAGGCTGATTAAAACATTTAAAACACCAGGACTGGAAATTTTCTTCTAAATTAATACAACACATGATCAAAACATGTGACAAAAAGCTTTGCTCCATGGTTTTTGTTGTCTATCACTTAAAGTTACAGTTATCACAGGTGTTTTTATGTGCACTCTTTGTGCTGCTTTATCTCTGGTTTAAAGTTTGTCTGTTGTTTGTTAGATAGAGACATTTATCTAAACGTATTGCATCATAATCAGCATCAAAAGTTAAAGAAGTTTTCAAACAAATGGCCCCTGTGAGTTTTATTATTCACTACATTATTATTTTGGGATTATTGCTACTGACAGTGATGGAGAAGCTACTTTGAAAGTATAACTTTGCAAGCTACCAACTACTTCATCCTGGAGAAAGTTAAACTACAACAAAGCTAACCGAGGGAGAAAGGTAGTTGGGTAACTAAAGCTACTTAGCAAAAGTCGTTCAAACTAATTTGCAAAAGAAAAAGATCAAATTACGATATGAAATTATAACAATTGAGTTTATTGTAAAAAGTGCCTACTTGTTCACAGGTCATGCATAAACAAAAAAATAAAATTAAAAAAAATAAAAAATCAACTATTCATGGGAAAGTGTGGGAACGTCAGCTTTGGTTTGGTAAACAATAACTGCTTCAGTATGGTGATTCTTCCTCAGACTGAGATTCAGGAAGTTTATTCATGAGGAAGTTGTTGCTGTGTCAAAGGTCAGATGAGTGGTGTGGGCTGCCTGACAAATCCATTGTATGAATATGTCTGTCACAGCAGTCAGGATGAAAGAAAAAGGGGGCAGGGCTAGTCAAAGGGGGTTCATGTAAAGTAGAGAATCAAATGGTAAAATAATTAAAAAAAATAAAAAAATAAATAAAAATAAATTATTTCCTGCCTTTTATGGTCTAAAATTATTTGTAGTTCCTGTTGTTAACTACATAAAAAATGGCAAAAAAGTCTTTGAATCACTTGCACTTATGAATATAGTTGAACTACCGGCTACTGATGCATTAATGTGTAGGCAGGTGTGTGTGTCCAGGTGGAGAGCTTATTTTAACAGCTTCATATACTGTCCTTTAATCTATTGTATAACATTGCATGATATTTTGTATGGTGATTAAATGTATTTTCATATGTAAATGTTTGCAGTAAAAATAAAATCTTTCCCTCTGAATGTAGCAGAGAAGATTTAATAAGTGGCAGAAAATGGACTTAAATCCAGAATTTGAGTTAAGTACTTTTCCAAAAACAAATCATATAAATTGGCTTTGTCTTAAAGGTAAACACTGTTCAGAAAACTCAGTAGAGTCAATAAATACTTTGTGTGGCTGCAGGTGTAAACTGCCACATGCTTCACCAGAAATGTGTTTTAACAGCGGGACAGTGGTCAGTCACTGGATGGAGGCGGTCAGCGTTTCTTACCAGACACTCCAGCAGGCGCGCAGGCCGGGCGATGATGATCATCAGCTTCTTGACGAGCTGCGTGACGAAGGTAACCTCCACACTCTCGGAGCGCTCGTGAGCCTGCACGCAAACAAACGACAACACAACATCTTTATTTCCAAATGTAAGAGACAAAAGATTTTCAGCTCCCAGGAGAAACATGAGGGAGGTTTTAATGAAAAGCACACACTGTGTTGGAGATGACTCATCCCTCATAATAATATCGTTATTCATTATTTTTAATTACATTTTAAATAATTCATCATCCTGAATTTTTATATGACCTTGAAGCTGTGCAGAAAATGTCTCTTGTTCTGTGTCTGTCCTTCACACACAAGGCAGAACGAGCAGTTTGAGGACAAAGCGGACAGTGGAGTCCTTCCTCCCTGTGACACCTGAGAGGTAATCTAAATCAGAGCGACCTCCGCCTCGCTCCCTGATATCCACCGTGAAATGTCTGTCAGTGTGGAGACAGAGCAATTTACCCAGCAATCCACTGTAACTGACTAGAAACGCATCTGGTGCAAACACTGATCCCCGGAAAGAAATGGGGTGGAAGAGAAGTGTGTGTGTGTGTGTGTGTGTGTGTGTGTGTGTGCAACGTGGAAGCTGTAACAATTACAAACCACCCACTGTAAAACATGTTTCATTCTCAGGGGGTAATATGTGTGTGTGTGCTCATGCAGCTTCATGTGTGTATGCATTTATGAATGCAGCATGTATGTATGTATTTATAATGTGTGTGTGTGTGTGTGTGTGCGTGTCAGATAGGCTAACAGAGTGGAGGTAGTGGTTCATAAACAAAGCGTGGTCGACTCGTTGCTGTTTGTCTAACAGAGCTGTGCTGACAGACGCTGGAGGGCCCCGGGGCCCCGACCCCAACCCTGAATTATTTATAACTGTAATGAAACCTGGAGGGGAGGGGGGAGTTGTCTATGTACTGTATGTGCATGCTAAATATGCATTAGGGATGGAGTATGTACATGTAAGTGTGAAGGAGACAGACAGAGTGTGTATGTGTGTGTGTGTGTGTGTGTGTGTGTGGTGACTGTATAGGCCAGTGATCGGTGAGTAATGGACATCTGAGGGGCGGACTCCGACTGTGCAGCGGCTAATTAACCAGTCAGAGTGTGTGAGACAGACTGTATATTCACTCTGCATGTCTAATGTGGGAGAGAGTCCCTGGTGGTAAAAACAAAATATATAACATTTATTTTAACTTAGCTCATGTGTATATGAAGTGAAGGCTGGACTGTATTATCAGCCATTATTAGCTTAGTTTATAAAAAATATATTGTATTAGCATATAAACTGCACAATAGGAAAACCAGAGATTATTTAGAAAGTCTCCATTACATAGTTCATCTTCCACAGCTCATGTGTGTGCCAGTTATTTGTTCAATGTTAAACTTTTTTTTTTTTTAACTTATTTATTTTGGGAGATCTTTGTCTTTACTTTGAAAGCCACAGTGAGAGAGAAACAGGAAAGTCAGGGAGCGTAGAGAGGATATTGAAGAATACTGAACAATACATTGTTATCTATATTCAACCTCTCAAATATCTAGATTGGAAACCACCTCAAAAATCTTTGGATTGGATTTGATCACATATATCCTTATCACTTTATACTATATCATAACAGAAATGCTGAACATATGATTTGAAAAATAACTTTTGTTTTGGATATTTTGATATAAAATTTGGAAAAGCTTTGATGTAGCCTGCAGCCACAGGAAAGGAAAGATAAAGATAAAAGCAAAATCAGCTGGTTACTGATGATGATGAAAAAATAATCTAATGTTCGTAATACAGGCTTCTACTTTACACTAATTGTGTATTTGTTGTTCAGTATATTTTATTACAGTTCAGATTTTTTTCTAAAAGTCTTGTAGGCTACATTTCTATATATTGGACTCACTCTTCTTATTTCAATTCAATACAATTTTAGTGTATTTGTGATGTTTGTTATTGTTGTTGTTGGTACAAATCTTATTTCCGCTGAAGTTTACTGTCATATATGCTACAAGTGTTTTGCAAATATTATTTTTCAACTGTAAAATGTCCCGCTCAGTACACGTCTTAGTCACATTTCATAATTTAGGAGACTCTTCTCATGAATATTAGTTTAAGTTAGGTGTTTATGTTAAGAAGTTGTATCACTGTTATTTATAAACTCAGCGTTAAATATCTGTATTGGCCTTTAAAAATCCAGAATTAATCCGGCCCAAACTGTGTTTCCCAAATACATTTTTAACAGTGAAAAGTTAAAAGATAACAAAGGATTTTTTCTTCAAGGTTTTCGGAATGATTTCCATTCTGATGCAGTTACATTCACACAGTTAAGATTATGTGTTTCTTTAAATGGGCTTCAAACACAGACGCAGCTATGACGGAACGTCTTGCCACCTGGGAGGATGAATGTTAAATGTGGGAGAAAATGCTGAGCAGCGATTTAAAATAAATCACATGATTTTTTTTTCTTGTTATTTAATTGTGCAAATCTTCAGTTTTAAAAACACTGCAAGAATAAATGAGTCGCTTGATATTTTTCACAATTCTGGGAAATCACATATGGTCACAGTTATCGTTTCATTCATGTTTTTGGTGACATCCATGTAATTTATACTGAAAATGACCGAAAAGCAAGCTCTCATCTCATTGGTCAGTCAGTATAAACTGTGCTGATTAGTTTATTTTAAGCGACAACTGGTTGAAAATCAAAATATTTCCTCCTGGTCATTTTTGTCATTTCATTGGAATGAACAGGACAGAGGTGACATCACCTCCAGTGGTTTGAACCTATCAGAGAGAGACTCATCATTTTCTCCAAGCAGGTGATGTCCAGCAGAAAGCCAATTAAAACCAGATGTTTGCAGCTGTATCTGAGCCCTGATGGACACATTGAAGGGTCTGATTGAACCATCGACGCCTAGTGACAGATCACCAGAGCTGAGTTAGCGCTCCGCCTTCCCCTCTGCCCTCAGGTGACCTCCAGGAGTCTAAGTGAGTCTCCCTGGGGTTCCGGCAGAGGATGGCCTGGATGCAAGTTGCCATAGTGACCGCCAGGCAGGTCACTAAGGCCCCCCCCCCGTGACAGGGATGGATGAGAGAGAGGAAGCGAGGACGAGCGGTGGAGGTGAGGTAGAGAGACGGAGGAGAGGAGGGTAAAGGTGGAGGAGAGATAAAAGACGAGACCAGGAGCAGAGAAGGACAGAAGGAGGAGAGGTGAGTCGGCCTCCTGCGAGTTCTGTAATGGGGTCATGACATGAGGAAAGGAGAGAACGGATGGATGAATAAAGGAATGGATAAGCAAGGAGGGCAAAGAACTGAGACATGTCAGGAGTAGAAGGAGTGGACTGATGAAAAATAAATTTTAGAGGACGGTGGTTTCAAACACTGAAAACACACTTGATATTTTAAAGTCTACATCTCCACATTGACAACCCTGCAAACCTAACGTCCAAAAAAATCTGATAGTAAATTTTTAAATTGTGATTTGAACTGATACTTGAAACTGAACAACAGCAGCATATAAGAGCAACTTTACAGATGCTGAAGGGCTTCCTGAGGCTACAGGTAAAAAACTAAAAACGTATTATGAGCATCTTCTCAAGTTTCAGGACATCTAAAGAACACTAGAACAAGTTTTAAGTAAAGTCTAAAAAGCATATTGTCCCTTTTATGACTTAATTATTTACTCACCCCAAAGAATCAATCAAAATACAATAATACCACCAGAAAAAATGGCCCCATGACTCATTAAAAAGTCTAAATTATTCACAAGCTACAGAGAAAAACAGCCACAGCAGTTGACTAATTACAAGAAGATTTAATAATTAATGTATTTGTCATTGAGCCCTGGAACACGCTCAATTATATTTTTGTAAAAGCAGCCACAAAACGACCTACAAGCACTGCTGTAGTTTCACTCAAATTAAGTATAATTAATTAACAATAATAATCAAGAATTAAGAATCAAGACTGTGAAATCTTGAGTGTGACAGGAAGTCACAACAGAGAAAGCAGCTCCGGAGGAGTCAAACCACTTAAAGTGTCTGCAAAGTTAGAGTGAGTTGTTTTCTGTAATGACTCATTAGCCTCAGACGCTAACGAGCTTCAATCTGCCCTTCACTGAGTGACCAGGAGAAACTACAGCTCTCCTCGTCTTCATCGTCATCATCAGTGTGCCAATAAAGCTTGACCAAATCAAACCGAAATTGACTCAACTGCAAAGTCTGAATCCGCCTCCTCCTCCTCCTGCTCCCAGCTGTGAGTGAACACCATCCACTCGCTCCTCCTCATCACCTCCTCCAGCACCTCCTCCTCCTCCTCCTCCAGCCTCCTCTGCCACGAGATGCGTGACATGTCTCCTCCGAAAAACCAAAAGCGCAAGAACGACGAAGGATTTCCATAAACGAGTGCAGGGAGGGAGGATGTTTTCACACCTCCGTCCACCTGCTCATGGCCTCATCTTCTACTCTCCTCTGTAGGTCTGCCCCACCTGCTGCCCGCCAAAATTAAAAAAAAAAAGACTACAACTAACGCCGCCCAATTGGTGATGTCATCATCCAGCCCGCATTGCAGCTTCGGCGTCTGAAGCATCTCCAGATGTGTTCAAGTCAAGTTCCTCACACCCTCCAAAAGCATTCGAACAGGCTTCACATACATACATCCACCTCCCCCTTCTACTAGCCCCCCGCCCCACCTTCCCCGTCCACCCTTCGGCCAATCAGAAGGCGAGGAATCCCCTTGAATTCCCGCCCCATCCCAAAACCCTCTAACTGCACCTCCTTCACCCCTCCTGTTCGTCTGGGAGAGTCATCTGTCAGCCCCTGGTGACTGCTGGAGTGTGAAATTAAAATCCAGGAGAATGTGTGTGTGTGTATGTGTGTGCTAACACGTACATATGTGCGTGTGTGTGTATGTCTACGATTGAGAGATAGTTTGTGTGTGTGTGTGTGTGTGTGTGTGTGTGTGTGTCCCAGTAGAACAGAAGGTCAATATGAGGCCGGTGGGAGCCATAATGTCAGCCCCCCCAGGCACGGCAAACCTGAGCTAATAGAGATGTCACTGCCACCACCACACACATGTAAATATATTTCTGTGTTCACATGGGTAGAAATACACTAATACTGTCTGAAAAAGTCCCATAATGCAAAGCAGCGATTAGTAGTTTGTCGGTAGTAAACAGACAGCAGCTGTGTGTGAAGGAATGTCTTTGTGCCTTCGTATGACATCACACGGCACCGGCGGCTGTATCCATGATGAGTGGACGAAGGAGTGCGTCACGCCGTGAGTTGTTCCACGGTAAACCGAGCGTGACTGGGGAAGTGCCACAGTCATGATGTCTTTGTTTTAGTAGTTCATAAAATCCCAAAAATTTTCAGTGGTTCAGGACAAGCTCTTCATTTCGTCTTCACTTGATGAATTGTTTGTTTGCCACATTTTACATTTTTATATGTTTATATATTGACATGTTATATGACTGCACTGACTGACAGAGGTTATGTTAGCACTGGATTTTATTAATTAAATTAAAATTATTTCAAATAATGCATAATCCTGTTTTTCATACTGTAACTATCACATATTCCCCAATTCATATTGCACAATGAACATATTTGTATTATATTTTTTATTATATTTTTTCACATTTTATTGTAATTTTTTTCTATTTATATAATTTGCAGTACTTGCTTTGCTTTATCTTTCTTTTATATATTTTTTTGTTCCTCTTATGTCAAAACCTACTTTGCCTGATTCTGATCCTGAACCTGCCTGAACACCGTGGGAGCCGTAAAATACAGAGTCTGAAGTTGCCACCTGGTACATATTTGCTTCTACCTTAATTGTCCTGTGCTCTGACTGCTCTAATTCTATGTGTGAAGTCTATGCTTCATAAAACACCATCACACATCTCTACCATGTGAAAATGAGTTATTAATTATGTGACAGTCCACCTGTCAGTGAGGACACAAACTGATGATGATTCATTAGTGTCATATATGACTTCACTGCTCACTATAGTGTCATCGATTGAGTGTTTATTATATATAGAATAATGAAGGGAGTAATTTTGGACAAACACAGGTGTAACTAATAACACCAGCTTTCTGGGACTCTCAAATGAAACAAAGCCAATTACTGAACCTTTGCTTCACCTGCTGTGATGAGTCAATACGCGAAATAATGACAAAGGCTCATAGGGAGCTGGATCTTACCTGGACTGCTCAGGAGCATTTTGTGTGTTGTGATAAATGATTTGGATGAAAATAAATGTAAGGTTTCCTCTGTTTAGCATCTATCTAAATCAACAACTCCTTTTAAATTGAATCCTTTTTTAATATTAACAACTTTCTCTTCCTTGAGTATTTCTTTGAAATGTTGCCTTCATGTTTTTCTCCTTCATTTTCATGAGAAACAACATATTTTTACACTTTGTCTTCCACATGAAGAACCCTTGAAAGTAGAATCGAGTAGCAAGTGATTTCATATCTTTCTTAATCTTAAATACTTTTAAGAGATTTCTAGTCTAAGAGAACTGCTGATTGGAAGTGAACATGTTGTGCAGGCAGTGAATAAACTGTTCCACTTACATCCTGCAGCAGCTTCTCCAGGTTCTCCTGGAGCTCGTAGAAGTAGCGGGAGGTGATGAGGCCCTCTCTGCTTTTCTCCAGGCAGTCTCTGGACAGCTCTATCAGCTGATGGTGGATGAAGCTCAGGACCCCGTCTGCCAGCGGGTACACCTTATCCGGGGCCGAGGAGGACAGCAGCTCAGCCAGGCGCTCCTCCATTTGAGCAGTCGCCTGGGGGGGGGGGGGGATAGATGAGTCATACATACCAGACAAATGGAGAGACATGACCAAAAACTGCATGCGCACAGGACAACACTGTATTTATATATTAGAGTATTAGAATAAAAAAGAATACATGGCACATGTCTGCATGTGTGTGTCTGTAGGCCTGAGATAACACGTTTCATATTAGCATTGCATATTACATCTTCATAATACCACTTCTATCCATCCATCTATCTTACAAAAATATTTGTAAAAACTAGAAACAAAATGGAAGTGGGAGAGCTGCCTGCACCTGTTTCAAAATAAAAGCCCCCAAAATAAGGATTAGGATTAGCTCAGGTCAGCAATATTTAAGATGGGGTGAGAAACCTATTTGTGCATGGATCTAAACACATGAAATGATTATCCATTACTTCTCCTCCATCTTCCTTCTACGCATCTGTTACATCTACAGTGGGTTTATTATAACAGCAAGTGTGTGTGTGTGTGTGTGTGTGTAGTACAAACCTTGGGGAACCTCTCCTTGTAGACATGGTTCATCATCACAATCTCATGGTCAAAAGAGACAGGTGAGCGTCCGGGGCTGAAACAAAACACACAAACCAGCTCAGATGAGTGGAGACAATGGACACTACTGTACATGGTCAGGAGCTCAGCTAAAGAAGTATGCTACTGCTAATGTACTGGACCTCTCATTCAATCTGAGAGTCAAATCACTCTGGGATCAAACCGCTCACAGCTCAAGTCCACACTGAAAGTTTAGAAAATGCTTCAGATGCTGAATCTTTAAGTGAATGTCATTTTTAAACAACTGTTTTATGTATTTTGCAGAACAAATCATAAACTGGTGTCAGTATAAAACTGTGTTCTGTCTTATTTTCTGACTCGAAATCGATAGATCACAACAAAAGAGCGTTTACTTTTTATTTTTCTGGGGGGGTTAAGAAAAATTCAGAGATGAAGATACATAGCTGAGCAGACTGGATGTGACAGACACGACTGGTCAGGTAACCAGAGCACACAGGGAACAAAAGCAAGATGGTGGTCACGCACACTAACAGGACCTCGGGGTCTTCATCATATGTGTGTCTTGAGCGGTGTAAACTGAGGACCATGACAACCTCTGGACACGCATGGCTGCACATACAGAACGGCACAAAGGTAACGCGTCTAGAGACTGGTGGACCGCATGTGTGTGTGCATGTGTGTGTGTGCGCGTGTGCGTGGCTGTCAGTAACAAGCCAAGGCCGTCCACTCCTCAGCCGAGTGTCCACCAGTTCTCAGGGGGTTTTCATGACCTGACACACTGACAGTGACGTCTCCTTCAGTCCAACAGAATATAAATCTGTCGTTCACTCAGTGGACTCCATCTTCTCTCCATTTTCCCTCCTCCTGGGACTCATCTCTTTTCTTATTCCATCATGAACCAGCCCTCAACCCCAACCTTTCTATGCACCGACACAAAACAGCGACAGAGGCAATATCCTTGACCTTTCTATGTCTCCCTATCAGGAGAATAGGCAGCGTGGACAGGTGACAGGCAGTGTGTGTTGTGTGATTTTGTGTGTGTGTGTGTGTGTGTGTGTGTGTGTCTGTGTACACAAGTCAGGGGAGAGAAATTTTATTCCATTCAAGTTCAGGCTTTGTTAGCCTGCTGTATTATTTATTCCATTCACTTATCACTGTAAACAGTTCCCTCTAAATATTGCAGACGCAATCTGAGTGTTTGGTAAACGTGATATCAGTTTTCATGTTCATGAATCATTTTGGCATTTTGTTGTAAAATCGTCTAATTTTTTAGAAATCTTCAAATCTCAGCTCATTTCAGAATTTTCTTGATATTAGTTTTATCTGACACTCTTATTTTTTCATGATACTGATGTTCGTATTTAGAAAATAACTGAAACAAAAGAAACTGTACTGAAGACTATCTCACTTCATCCTGCATATTTTCCATTCCATTTCATGTTTATAACTGTCAATCACCTGTACAAGCTTTACCAACAGAATTGTGCCTAATGAAAGACCAAAACTTCTTTAATAAAGACAAACTGATCAACAGTTTTGGGATTTTTTTTGTTTCTTCTCACTCAAGAGATTTTGATTCTATGAACCAAAGACAAGACAAGACGCAATGGACAGTACAAAAGAAATGACAATATCAAATATCAAAAATTAAAAAATGAAAGATATTAAAATATATCAAAATAAAAAGTAGACAAAATAGAATATAAAATATCTAAAAACTAGAAGAAAGTGAACAAAACAAAATTCCTAGAGAGATTTTTACAAAATTGAGGGGAGGTGGGTGAAGTAAAAATATGAATTTGGGGATCCAGATTTCTATGTTTGTATGAGTCATGGGGGCACACACACAAACACACAAACGTGTGTGTGTGCGCATGCACACGTGACCCGTGCGATGAGGTAATGCTTTAAGTCATCCATCGGCAGCTAGTCCAATTACCAGCTTAATAGGAATGAGGCAGCCTGAATGTGACATATGAGCTGAACCTCACGGAGGCTGTTTATCATGACGCCAACGCATACTGTATTTTGTGACCACACACACACACACACACACACACACACACAGTGCAGTACATAGCTGTGTCCATGTTCTTTTTGTTTGAACCTGCTCTGTTGTGATGCTCATGTTGTTCATAAACAACTTCTTACTGCAGGATTAACAGTAATTATCATGATAAACTGTCAGGATTGTGTGTTTGAGTTGGAGTGAACACATGATTTTTTATTAAAAGGGTCATTTAACTTAAGTAAGATAAGAGGCAAAACATTTTTCATCCTGGGGAAAATTTGGTTTTGATTTTTAGACAGTTTTGTTTTTATTTGTCTAAGTTTTGAGATATTTGTGTCTGAGATTTCACAATTTAGGTTGTGATGCTCACAACACTGAAAAATTACATTTCAAAATTTCAAGATTCACTAATTTATTCAAGCTTATACAATTTATTAATTATGTCAATAAAATGATAAAGTCAAACTCAGCACTTCCTGATGATGTATCTCACATCTTCTACTGGCTCAAAAGACATACTTCCTGCTCTTCCTCATAGGCTTTTAATGTAAAACATCAACGCAGATCAACAGAACAGCAAAGTAGAAACATTATGAAACACTATTAAGTGAAGGAAAATGGTATTCCTGTTAGGAAATTGTTTATTTGTAATTTGAGGTAAATGACCCTTTGAACAAAGCACATCTCAACTGTGCACACACACCACAACACAGACATACACTCAACCACTGCTGATGTACGTCAATCACCTGCAGCTCCAACAAGCTTAACTTTAAAAGTCTCCTTTCACGTTGGTGTTTCTTAAAAGAGAAAAATCAATCAAACCCGGGTGGCTCTGCCAGCGGGCTCAGTGAGTAAAGGTTAGCCTTGACAGAGATGAATTCACTGCCAGAGGCTGTTATGTACATTCTTTAATTTTCACAGAATATCTTCTTCTTCCCTCCGTGTTATTCTTCCCGTCTGCTCGTGCCTCTGAGCAGCTTGAGCCTTTATTAAAATAAAGCTCCCATTCAGAGCGAGCTGCAGCGGAGGTCGCACTCAAATCCCGGGATGAATAACACAAAGACGCCAGACAAAGGCTAATTAGAACACGGCTATATTTCTGCTGTAATGGGAAATAAAAATTGCCCTGCGGCAATCCCTGCGAAAAACGTCTTCGTCATTATTTTGAGGAATGACCTTGGAGACGAGGATTTGGAGGAAGTTGTGGGAGAGTTCTTCTGTTTTAGTGTAGGGCTGCGAGTTCAAAAGTTAGGACTGTGAGAAAAGACAGAAAATATTTATGAAATGGAATATAAGACAAGATGTGTTTCAACCCCGGGCTGTTTGAAAAAATTGGATAATTAAAACATCGGTGAAAGGCCGTTTTCTTTCTTTTCAGCTAAGTGGTGATGTCACATGTGACAAAAGGCACTCAGAATGCAAACGAGCTTATTGGTGGAGAGGGTAATTGAAGTAAATCAGACGAGACAGTGAATCAGATGGTGAGGCGGGATGGGGGGGGGGGGGGGGGGGACAGAGGTGAGGAGGAGAGGGGTGAGGGATGGTGTGTGTGTGTGTGTGTGTGTGTGTGTGTGTGTGTGTGTATGAGGGAGGAAAAAAAATAACATTGATGCTTCACCACTGAGGCAAGCGACTTGGGAAATGAGAGGTCTAATTGACCGTGACAGAGAGCTGGACAGAATGGGGATGAGGTGTGTGGATGTGTATGTATGTGGGTTTAGTGTGTGTGATGAGTGCTGTGATTGTATGTGTTTACCACAGAAACCTCAGTATCTTGGTGAAAACATGTTGGTTAAAATCTCCTGAAACCACCAAGTATTGGTGCTTTCAGGAAGATAAATTCTTAAATCCCAGTAGAGGAACCAAACCATTTAAAACAGGCATATTTTAGAGACAGTTAATCCTGTTTTATATAACAGTATGAATTATTTGATTTTAGTCTCCATGTTTTCTGATCTGCTCCCATTTTAATTTGCTGTTGATAAGAAACACTCTGCTGCTGTTTTTCAGTCACTAATTAATTCCAATCGCTTCTACTTAGCTGTTTTCTTGATCAATGTTAAGCTACTGTTAATCAAACTCAACAGACATTTTACATTAAATGCATGGCAGGACATGAAAGAATGGAAAACTTTTAATGTGAAGTGTGAAGTGAAATGGCTGTGCAAGAAGTGTTGAGATTCACTGAAAGTAGCTAAACACTGGTTGAAAGAATGGCAAAGTAGAACAGAATGGAATAACTAACATTAGTCAATGCTGGTTGGGTGTAAGTAGTCATTATAGTTTTTCATATAGTGCTAAATCCAAACAGTTTTAAATGAATATTTTTAAGGTTTAAACTGTCCTCTGCCACCACAGAGTGTGAAATATAAGCTACTTTGCCTCTTGAAATAAGTCAAACAAATGTCGTCCTATTATTTCTTAGCCTTCAAAGTCCTGAGTAACATGCTTCTATTTCTCCTATTAATTTTTTCTACAATTAATAAAAAATAAAAACGTTAATAAAAACGACATAAAATTAGTCTGATAAGCCTGATTTTGTGGTAGTTTGAATATTTGAGACTTGAATATATAAAATATGAGGTACAACATGTTTGCTCCATGTGACATATGAAGAAGTTGACAATACAGCTGTGTATATGTGGTTTTCCAGACATAAAGTCAATGAGGTGTCTGAATAGACTATCCATCAGTGTCTTTACAAACTGTAACATGTGTATGATGGATGGATAAGGTCTACACATTCCCATATTTATGGAAGACTGCATGGCTGACAAGGGTTACAGGAGGGAACTGAAAATAGATTGTACTGAACGCAAAGAGCAGACTGGGCGAAGAAAAGGCTACGAAGAGCAAAAATGGAGAGAAGAATAAAAATTTGAGATGAACAAAGAGAATGTTAAACGACAAAAGGGCGGCTGGCATCTCTCATGGCAGAGTCATAAAATTAGCATATAATTGTAGTCTGCACCTCTTTTTCATTTGTTCACTCTCTCATACACAGACACACTTCTTCCCTTGTTCCTTCCCCCTCCTCCTCCTCCTCCTGGGTCCAATCATCATCATCATCATCATCATCATCATGTCTCCTCTCAGTCACTCACTTCATTTCTCTCTCTGTCCCATTCACCGCATTTCTCTCTTTGCCCCTCCTTACCGAGACTCTTTTTTCTGCCACAGTCTGAACTTTGTCTCTCTCTACAGCTTTCTGTTGGTTATTTATCTGCGCTCGCAGACAGTCTGCAGACTGCTCATTAAGAGCTTTTTAATGACACTCACTGCTGGTAGAATAAATATGATGTCAGGCTTTCCACTGAGGCTCATTCACCCCGCACATGGGGAGGGGGGGGGCTTACTGCTGGCCGCAGCGGAAACACTTCTCAAAGTCACCTCCATGTAAAATAACTTGCTCACAGTCACTCTTCTTCTATACAATTACAGCATGGTGGTTTTGTCAGCTTTAATGAAATCTCATTCTCTACGTATTTACCCATAGTTTACCTTCACATTATTTCTAATTCTAGTCCATTTTCCAGAGAGAGAGGGGTCCTATAAGGACACAGGGTGACGTTGGATTACCTGAGATGACTCCACAGAGAGAGACACACACACACACGCGCACACACACACGCACACGCACACACACGCGCACACATACACACACACACACACACACACACACACACACACACCAGTCAACAAACACAGTGTGATTCTAATCAGAAACACACCACGCAACTCAGTGTCGCCTTCTTTCATCTCGTGGATGAAAGAACTCAATATCTCTCTATACAGGAGCAGAGATGAAGATGAGGAAAGTACTGCTGAGACAAGAGATGGAGGTAAGTTACCAAGTGCGTGTGAGAGGGGGGAAAATGTTCAAATTGTAGAGAATTTGAAGGAGGGAGAGATACAATGAGGGGGATTGGAGTGTTCCAATTACTGGGGTATCACATTGCTCAGCCTCCCAGGGAAAGCTGATGCCAGGCTGCTGGAGAGGAGGTTCCGACCGATTGTCGAACCACCGATCCAGGAGGAGCCATGTGGATTCTGACCTGGGCGTGGCACAGTGGACCAACTCTTTACCCTTGTAAAGTGACTGGAGGGGTTGTGGGAGTTTGCTGATTCAGTCTACATGTATAGAGGGTCTGGTGAGGGGCACTGTGAGTTACTACAAGCCCTCTGCTCCTTATATAACCAGAGTGCGAATTGTGTCTGTGTTAGCAGGAAGTCGAGCATGTTTCCAGTTGGTGTTGGCCTCCGCCAGGGTTGGCATGGATAGGATCTCAAGGTGCAGCCGGGGGAAGGAGTGTGTCTGGTGTGTCGACCAGACTTGGTTTGGTTCTGATGACTTCATCAGCCTGTGAGCACTGGGGCGGTTTGCAGCTGAGTGCGAGGCAGCTGGGATGAGAGTCAGGAACTCCGAGTCTGCCGGCCACAGTTCTCATGGTGGATTGGGAACGAGATGCAAGTGAAGCAGTTTAAGTATTGTTTGTGAGTGATCGTAAAATGAAGAGTGAGATTGACAGGCAGATTGGTGCAGAATTGGAAGTAGAAGAAGTGATCGTACGAGCTGACCGGAAGACAAAGCTTCACCAGATTTACCAGTCAATCTTTGTTCCATCACTAACGTATGGTCATGAGATTTGGGTAGTGATTGAAAGAAATAAGATAGCAGATATAAGCTGCCAAAATGAGTTTCCTCTGTAGGTGTCTGGGCTCTGTCTTAGAGAGTGGGTGAGGATCTCAGACATCTGGAGGGAGCTTCTGTTCTTTCATGTCGAACGGAGTCAGTTGAGGTGGTTCTGGCATCTGATCAGGATCCCCTGGGCGCTTTCCACTGGAGGTTTTCTGAGCATGTCCAACTGGTAGGAGGTCCTGGGGTAGATCCAGAGAGTTTATACATCTCATCTGGTCTGGGAACACCCAGATGGACGTCTGGACTACCTTACTAACCTGCTGCCACCGTGACTCGACTACGGATAAGTGTCAGAAAATGGATGGATGGAAGGAAGGAAGTGACAGAATGAAAATCAGTAAATGAAAGGGTGAGGAGGGTGAAATCTTAAGGCAGCTCCTGTCAGGTAAAAACAGGGATGGAGAATCATGAAGAAATAAAGAGAAAGATGGACAGAGTAAATGAAACACATAAAGACACACAGATCTGCAGCTGGACAGGTGAACAGGTGAGTGTCACTGATACAAACAGTGAAGACTCTATACTCGCCCCACCTGTCACAGATATGCCAGCAGGATGAGTCTGACCTTTCTGGGGGCTACACAAACACAACCACACACACACACACACACACACACACACACACACACACACACACACACACACACACACACACACACACACACACACACACACAACCAAGAGCATCATGATATGCTAATGTTTGTCAACTAAGTCTCATCGACTCGTCTTCTTTCATATTCTTGGAAACTATCAGTTTGTGGGGCAATTCTAATATTTAAGAGGAGAACAGGTGAAGAAGGCAAAGGTATGATCCCGCTCTGCTTCAGCCTCTGTCTGAGTGTCTCAAAACCAAACAATAAGATTTTAAAATCAGTTCTGTACTGCAGAGGAAAAAAGTGAAGAGAGGCTTCCAGTACAGGTCAAGTCTATACTAACGATTACATCAGTCTAGGCTACACGAAATGAAGGGAAACTTTCTGCTTTGCATATTCACCAAGTTTCTGGGGAGAAAGTTGAAGTTCAGTTCTTTTGCAGCCAGCAGCTAGGAGTACAGATGGGTATCATTAAGATTTTAACGGTACCACTACTCTTATCAATACCACTTATTGATCTGGTATTTTAACGGTACTTTTTGTCATTTTATAATAAAAAAAAAGAAATTAAGAACAGAATTCACTTTGCTTATTTTCTCATATGCACTGGATTAACCCCCCCCCCCCAGTGCCCTGAAACTGAGTGTCTGAATGACAGTTCAGACTGTGCATATGAATATGAATATAATATATATGAATTTAAAAACACACCCGTAACTATCAGCTGGCTAATGTTTACTTTTCATCATTAACCGATGTTCGTATAATGTAGTTAACTGTGTGTGTGTCTGTGTGTCTGTGTGTCTGTGTGTGTCTGGGTCTGGGTCTGTGTCTGGGTGTGTGTGTGTGGGTGTGTCTGGGTGTGTGTGGGCTCCAGGCTGCAGCAGACAAAACACACCTGAC